GACTCAATGTAGTCATCTATAAGACACCAAACATTTGTTGCGACAAAAGATCGAGTTTCGAGAGACTCTATAATAATAAAGACTTCAATGACTGTCGCTTTATTGTGGGCACAAAACACATCTTTGCCTCAAAAGCTGTTCTCAGTTCGCATTCAGAGGTTTTCCAACAAATGTTTTCGACGGATATGTCTGAGAAGGAGTCAAACGAAGTGATCATTGATGACATCGAGTGCGAGGTTTTCGAGGAGTTTATTAAATTTATTTATTTCGAGAAATCAGACAAATTGGAAGAAATGGCGGAACAACTGCTGTATGTGTCCGACAAATACATGGTTTCCGATCTGAAGAAGATTTGCATGAATTTGGTTTTCATGAAAATCAATAAACGAAATGCTTTTAAAGTGTTGAAAGCTATGGACAAATATGGGAGCGAAGAGTTGAGGGCAAAGACTATTGAGTTCATTGAGGAGAATATGAGCCAAACTCTTGAGGAGGAATGGGTCAACATTTTAGGCAATGATCGGCCGCTCATTGATGTCCTCGTGTTTGCCCTCAAGAATAACTGGAGACCTAAAATGCCCACAAAGACTATGACTTATACTTATTCCTATATTGGGTCCCAGGTTTAGGCAAACAAACAATGCCTGTTATGCCTGTTATAACAAAGTTATAAAATTCTCATAGTTTTTGTAAAATAAATATTTTGGAAATTGTTTGAGAAGTTTTCAGAGAACACACAAATTAATATTACAAATAAACAAAACTATTTAGAGAAATAGTTCTACAATTATTGACATTCATGGTAGATAAAACCATATACACACTAAACACATTCAATAATAACTAAATTGAATATTGCCAATAGTTGATATAATTTGTGTTTGCATTGAAATACGAACAACAGGTGAATGAAAGCAATTTAATCCGATATATAAACCCAGAGACGGGGGCTTTAATACTGGGATTGCGAATACAAATGGAGAGAAAACACTTCCAAATAGAAGAACTGAAACTGAGATGTGTTTCAATATTTCATCGAAATATAGCGGAATTTCAAGAGAACTTAATTATCCGAACTTATAATCAGGAAATACTTGAGGCCCAGTCCTCTAATGTCGAGTCGAGAAGTCATTTCAGTCATCATTTGGCACAATATGGTAAGCATTTGGCTTCACTCTGTGTTACAGAAAAAGCTTTTATATTATATTCACATGAAATAAAAACGACAAAAAAGCACAAAATGATTAATACATTTGAATCTCACTTTTTCTTTCTCACTCTCCCTTCCCATTTGATTACAGGAACATATAGTGGCCTTAAATACTTAATTAAACTTTTAGTTATACTATATTTGAATCAATTATATTTTTCGTTTAGTTATGTGTAGTCCGTTTTTTGCTAATCTATTAAATTATATATAAATTAATTAATTTGTAAATACCGTTATCTCTGGAGCAACTCATCTGTAAAAATAATTACATAATTATATGTGAATTAAAACATCAAAAAATTTCATTCCTATGTTATTATTATCTCTTTTTTATTGAATAATATGTTTCACTCTTTTTTGTGATTGATTTTTGAGATGCAAAATGAAATTCAAGTTTTTTCTTGTTTTAAAATAAGACTTCATTTAAATCGCGTTTTTGTTAATAACGCGGAAAACAGCAGTTTTCTCACTTTTTTAAGTCTAAACTCTAGACTCTCTAAAGATTTTGTGTAACAATTGTTTGACTATTTGAAGGATTGGGTCGTCTCTGCAGTTATTGTTTCGGATTATTAAACGCATAACAGTTTCACTTCAAACCATAGTATTGAAGAGTCATTGAGAGTTACAAAACATTTTCCTAAACAAAACTTATGAACCAAAAAATGGTTTTATATAATCAATGATCGCTCAAGTATTGAACAATAGTTTATTTGTGACGGAAAATGTGTTTTTGAGTCATATTTTTATTATTGATTTTCAATTCAATTTTATTTCAATAATTCACTAAAAATGCAGTCAATTGCTTGTTTGTAATGGTATTTTGCTGTGAAAATTAATTATCATCTCGTTATTAGCAAATGTTATAACAAATAGGTAAGTGGAAATATAATTTATTTGTGCAAATAGATCGAAACATGGATTGAAAGTAGGCTTATTATGGTTCACCAAATGCATACAAATATCTGTAATTCCCAATTAGATTTACAAAAATACAAAATTTAATAAAATTTAGCAACAAGAATTTAATATACTTACACAACAAAATCAACAAAAAATATTTTCTATATTATTAAATCAATTTAACTTATAATTCAATATTAAAACCCTAAAGACTTTTACAAATAAATAAAGTATAATTGGCAAATAATAAAAAATGAAATTTATTTATAAGCTAATGAATTCAGGTAATATTTGTGTGTCAATTAATATAATCAATTTCTTTACCAATAATTACTATTACGGTATAAGTTATGAAAGTATGATCTCATAGTAATTAGTTATTTTATGTAAATATACTTTTAGGACGACTATTATGACTATATCTCCTAAATATAGACCGCTATAGCATTGAATTAATGATTAATTACTAATTTTAGAGAACGTTATGCACCGGTAGGTAATGCAAAGTACAGCACAAAGCAATGTAATATTAATTTCATAATTAACTCAAAACTCATTGAATTTTCTAAAATCTATTTTTATATGATATTCATATGAAATTTTAATATTCAAATAATTTAAATCAAGTTAGGATTCGGTACTTATTTTTGACAAACTTTTGTAAGTTATAATTTATACACCTTTAGTGAATACCGGTATATTGTTAACAAATAAAAAGGATTCACTTACCAGTATAAATTATGCGGAATAACTAAGTTATAAATAAATAATAGAAATTTAATTCATTTTTAAATTAGAAATTTATTAAACATAAGCCAAAAATGGATGAATGAATCAATTTTTAAAAGATAATTGAATTGAATTAAGTGAACAATTGAATAAAAAGTGCACAAAAAGTATATTTAATATGAGTTATACATAATATTTCCCAATTGTTTGTGAAATTCGTAAAATGAAACAATAAATTCATTACTCGTATGAATAATATGTCTTTAAATGAAATGAGAAAAACATATAAAGATAGAGAGAAAAAATAAGATTACAATCATTTTGAAAATTGATATATTCATATAAAATATAAATAAATCAACTATTTAAACTCAAGTGTATACTCAAAAATTTAAGTAAATATTTTGATCTTAACTATTGGTCACAAAAAACTTCATTCATTTACACAATTAAATGAATAAAACGAGAAAAAAGGAGAAGAAAATTACAAATAAAATAAAATTATTGAATCAAAAGTCGACAATAATATTGGCGATAAAATTGCGTTCAATAGTTGCCATCCGTTCACAAAATGTTAGCACTTTTGTCAGTAGTTTTGCACAAATAATAGTTTTATTATTATAATAACATTTTTTGATAATATCTTCTAATTTGTGTTCAATTGATGTCTTAAATAAATGAATTATATTTTTGATGCAATTCTTGTGTTATTTTTATCACATGTAATGAAACGATGAAATGATTTGTTATCTCAAAAACTATATTTAAATTTCAGAGTAAAATGAAATGAAAGGAACACATAATCTAAGAGTCAATTGGTTAACAAATAAAAGCAAATCTAATATGAGTTTGAAAATAAATATGAACTAAAATTAATAAAATCGATGATATTATTAAAGATCCCGACTCTCTTGTGGTGCACAACAACTATAAGTTAAATAAAAGCAAACAATAATTGTCTTTAAAAACAAGTTCTTCGATAAAATTTCAAAATGTTTTGGCATTTATGCGAATGACATTTCATTATTAGTTAAATATATTTCAAAACAAATCTTAAGATAAAATATAATCTTTAAAATTAGATGACTTCTCCATTCGTCTAAACGTTTTGTCGAATCAAAACTCAAAAACTTATGCAAAAGTTCTTGAAATTCATGAAAATTCATAAATAAATTGATTAAATGCTGTAAAGAATGGATGAATTAAGAGTTAACCTCCGAATTGATTTCAATAAATATTAAACTATTAATAATTTGATATAAATATCGAGCGCTTTGTCACTCAATTGAGGCGATCGTCGGGTAATTAAATATAATTTCGTCTAATATTTAATGTGAGCTTTAATTTCAAGTAGTTTTCGGTGTATTTAAGCGATAATATTATGATTCAAGTCATTGAAGCTTATCCTTGGCGGGCACCCATATGTTTGGTCCGGACTGGTCGTGGATCACGAGCTTTACCTTTGCATAGATCTCTTCGGGTGTGTCTCCGGACACTATTGCTGTGAAATACTCTGCGAACTCCTGTTCCAGTTTAGCGGCCCTTTCGTACTGTTTGCGCGCCTGCTCTTCGGTGGTCCTCTTATTCATCTCAATAATAGATTCAATAGATTTGGGTTTTATAAAGATGGCGATCGGGTGCAGACCCGCCACTTGTAAGCGCTTTATGGCGTTTCCGCTCACGTCTAGTATGCAATGCTTCCCGCTTTCGGCCACTTCTCGGACCGACGCCACGGATGTGCCGTAAAGGTTGTCGTTGTACTGACCGGCTTCGATGAACAGGTGATTCTGAATGTCTTTCTCCATCTGCTCTCGCGATGACACGAAATGATAGTCACGTGCGTCCACTTCAAAGTCACGCTTAGCGCGAGTGGTGTGCGGAACGCATGACCCAAACCGCTCGGGGTATTCGCTGATGAGGTCGTCGTTGATGCGGTCTTTGATGGGTCCCAACACTATCACTGGTCGCGCGTAACTCACCTCCTGTTGAACGACCGCTTCGTACGAGAGTATCATTTCGTCGCCTTTCAGTGAACTCACTTCGGAGTCACCGCTGGCGGCGACGGCCGCCTGTACTGAGATGGTCGACGAGGCGTTGCCCACGTCTTTGGTCGGCGACTCTCTGTCGCCGTCGGAGATGTCTTCGTTGCTGTCGCGAGACTTCATGAACGGAAACTTTCGCGAAAACGAAAAGTTCTTTTTCTTGCGATCTATTGTCGACACCTTTCCGTCGGACGAGAAGTTATTCTTTCCGTGAAATTTCACTGATTTCAGTCGAGCCCTCTCTCGCCTCTCGACCCGTCGTTTCGATGGAATGATACCAAAGCCCGTCTCCTCTTCGCCGTCGGGCAACAGTTTCCTCGATTGCCACCACTCGTCGTCCGACGCGTTAATTACATGCAAAATGTCTCCGAACCTAAAGGGAAGGCCACGGCTGGGCAGCCCTGAGTCCCTCAGAGGGTCGTAATCAAAGAGCGCCCTCACATGGAGTGACTTTTTCTGCGATGTCCTCAGAGTTCCGGTCGTATTCATCATCATATGTTCGCGTAAGTCATGGATTTTTGCCTCAAATCTATTGTACTCTTCAGGTCTGTACTGAATAACAAGAGTGACGGTCTGTCCCGCGTTTTTGAGCGCCTGAGCCGCCTGTTCGTGAGTGGCTCCTCGAAGGTCGACGCCGTTCACAGACATCACTTGATCGCCTCTCTTAAGCTCACCGCAGAGGTCCGCGGGACCGCCCGCGAGGATGAATGATATGAAAATTCCTTCGCCGTCTTCACCGCCCACTATATTAAAGCCGAGACCCGTTCCGCCCTTCGATAGGATTACGCGTCTCGGCTCACGAGTCATGTCCTCTTCGCTCGAAGCCTTAGGAGTATTGACACTAGACTTGGAGGCAAACATGTCTGAAGAGTAGTCGGTTTGGTTGAGTGGAGGTGTTTGCAGGGAACGGGTGGATATGGCGGCTGTGGGTTCGGCGGCGATGTTGCCGATCGATGCGGTGCCCGAAAGTGATGAATGACTGCGATTCGTGTAATGAGAGACCAGATTGTGTTGTGTTGGTGTGAGAGGTCTGTATTTAATGACAGTCAGGAGCACGTGATCGGAGGTAGCCTTCAGGGTCGCCACCGCCTCCTCGTGAGTGACGCTCTCGAGGTTCTTGTCTCCGACGGCCACCAGTTTGTCGCCGACGTCTAGGCGGCCGTCCAGATGGGCGGCACCGCTCTCCATGATTTTGGTCACATAAATGCCATTATCGCCGGCGATGTGTTGATTACCGATACCGCCGGCGATACTAAAACCGAGACCTTTATTGCCTTTTATTAATTCAATTTCCAATAACTGATAGTTTGCGGCCATCTGTGAGCTCTTCCGCCTCTTCACCAACAAATGCACTCTATTTCCGGCCCTTTTAAGAGCTTCGACGGCCGCCGAGTGCGGGACGTCCACCAAATCGTATTCATTCACTTTCAGTATGATATCCTCGACCTGTAGGCGGCCGTCAGAGGCGGCGGCGCCTCCTGCGATAAGTTTCGTGATGTAAATACTCGGGTCGTCAGAGATGTGCGGATTATCTTTGCCGCCGGCGATCGAGAAGCCGAGCCCCGCGTTGCCCCTCTCGAGAGTGATCTCTTCGTACTCCCACTGGCCCTCCAGGAGCTCTTCGTTGGCGTCGTTGTGGTTCTCATTATTATTATCGTTATTATTGTGTAAAACCGAACGAATAATATCACCGCTCTTTCGGTTCGGCAAGTGATCTCTTCGTACTCCCACTGGCCCTCCAGGAGCTCTTCGTTGGCGTCGTTGTGGTTCTCATTATTATTATCGTTATTTAACACATTTTGGCTTGCTTATTATAGTGGCGAGAAAGCCAAGCCGCTTAGCCGGTAACAAAACTACTTACCTTTCCCTCTGCTCCTTACCCAGTCAGAAAGGTATGCTCTGTTACGTAGGTTGCTATGGGACAAATCTATGTCCTCGGCGTCGGTGATGAACACGTGTTTGCCGCGGATGTCCACGTCGTCTTCAGCCCGATATAAGGCTTCACTGCTTTTGGTGCTAAACGATCGGGTGGACAGCCGTTCGCAGCTGTTGTGACCCAAAAGTGGACTACTATTGGATTGGAGAGAACTGCCGGAACCGGACACTAGCGGCGAGTTCTCCCACTTGGAGGCGATGTCGATGGTCTCAGAGGTCTTCTGTTGGACAGTCTTATTGGTGTCCAAAAGAGTCAATTCATAGAACTCCTGGATGTCGAGCAGCGCCTGAAAGAGTCGCGACTTGAATATCCGGATCACCCTTTCGATGGCGATCCGCAACTGTTTGTCTTGTGGCGAGTCGAGGGTCGAGTGGTACTCCTCAAGCAGTTCCAGCGCCCGATGCGCTTCTTCGCGGCGCACAACCATCACTAGTCAGTGTCGACTCCACAGACCAAACCCGTGGACCGCAAACACGCCATACGTTTCGTGAAGACATTTAATGAGACATTCAGTAAACCAAAGACAGAAATAAAGGGTTTAAAAAAGAAACTAAAATTATATCGCGATTCACAGTCTGCACCAATTCTTCACCAGTTATGCCACCACTCAATGGATCAATGAGTATATCAACTAAATGTGTCACAAATATAGATAATTGTCTGGTGTTTGGTTGTGGCGATTATCACCGCCGGAACCGCTCGTATGCGTGAATATTGTGGACAAAAATATTAATTATTTATATATTAATAGCCGATAATAACGATATGAAAAAACTAATGGCTTTTCACACGAATATTGAGTCCATATATGATATAACTTTGAATATCAATCACTTGTAACTGAAAAAACACACAAAAATACAACAAATTTCATTAAAATCTCATTAATTATGTAGCATGCTACAAAAAAAGTGTAATGCCACAAAATATACAAACCAATATTTAATAGCAATAATAATAGTTATAATAATAACACAACAAATTTAATGATAATTATTAAGCCGGGTAAACAATTGGCGTCACATTTGAGTGTTGAATGTATTGTAATTGATTTAGTTATTTAGAAATCAATTATAATGAGTGTTATTATAATGGGTTTTACGGCGAGATGTTTGTGTCAATGATATTCACATTTCGCTCAATAATAACAAAACAATTCATTCATTATTACTATTATTAGTGTTTTACTGGTTTTGATAATCACATGAATTTCTAGTATATTTAAATACAAACAGAAATATAAATATATTAATAGTAATTAAATATATTGTCGA